TGGAGGCCAGACGGAGTCTATGCGTAGGTTGACCCATGTGATTCCATTAATATCGATTAAGGACCGTACCATTGATGGCGCTTATATCGAGATTGAACGCATGCCTCTCACTTAGCTGGCTGGATAACTCGTTCCGACCGCAAAGCCGAGTAGCTCAACTTAGGTCGGGCCCCGTTCTATAAAAGTGCGCACTCTAGATGGTAGTAAGGATGTGTGGGGAGCTAGACGAGAGCCTAAGGGTAGGGTAGTCCTGATCGTCCTGGCAGCTGGTTGTCCCTGATTGTGCGGCATTGATCGAACCCACGAAATGTGTACCTGAGTTGTACCAAAGGTGACCTAAGGTGACCATTGATCTAGTCTGCCTGGATTTGTGTAAGGAATAAATTTCAAGCTGGTTGAAAATGATTTGAATCGCCGTCTCTCTCAGATAGTGAGAAATTTGGCTAGTCCCAACATCGTAGTAACTATGTTATGAAATATGATGGTTCAGATCAACATGGAATTATTATACCGGATATGGTTACTACTGTATGCTACTAAATGATATACCACATGTTTGGCATAGGCTAGTTACTAATCTAGAGATGAATTGCTATAATTAACTTGATGACCGAATTGTAACTGTATACTTGAATTGGTAAGCTTTTTATGCAAAATGTTGTCAAGCTAAGTCTAGCTGAGTACCTTCTTGTACTCAGAGTTTTATTCCCATTGTTGCAGATGGTATAGTTTATCATGGCTATTGCAAGAACTGCTTCTGTCCCGCCATGGATAAGGAGTAAGCCCTAGGCAGACATCTCTTATGAATCTCTCCCTTATGCTTTTGTGGGAGTGTGATCATGAGCTGGCACTATATTTAAACAATGTTGCAGATGTTGGTTTCAAACTTGTAATTTGCTTCCGCTACTATTTTACTGAACTTGGTTTGTAATAACCTTAATTCATACTCTGATGGATGAACTGTATTTGTGAACTTTATGTAACGTGTGGCATGTATGTTGAATCATGTATGATTTTTGTTGTATATTGATGGTTAATCAAGACCCTTCATGGAACTCGATGGACTACTGGGTTTATATGGGCTCAAATATGACAGTGTGACCGCTTGCGGGCTGCCATTGTACTTGTGCTCTTATAAATTGGTCGGTTCTGCTATAGTTGGTACTCGGGGGCTCACTACCTCCCTCATTGGGTCACCACGAGCGGCTCAAGTTAGTACTCAGACATCATTCATCACAACGGTCGGGTGCTTCTGGGCGCCCCAGCTACAGCAGCATGGGCTCACCTCCCGAACGTCCCTTGAACTTTCAGTTGCTTCGGGCGACCTTGAAGCCCAATGGGCGAACCTTGAACCCTCGATGATGCCCCTTGTAGGGGACCCCTAGACCAACATGTGGTGGGGTGGATCCATCCGATGAAGGCTCAAGAGATAGGGAGAGATCTGCAAAGAAAAACGACATGGACACAAGAGAGGGGAAAGAGGACATAGCTGGTAACGCGATGGCCGAGGCCGCTCCATTAGCGCCTTACCAATCTTTCGCCTGCTCCTCCTGCTCCATCCATATCATTCTCACCTCGCTCGAGGGCCTTCTACAGTGGTCCTCCTTCTGAAAAGGTCAGCAAGTGGTTAGTTCGGTCGATCCTCCGGTGTGGCCGAGCCATCGTTGGGATGGCTCAGGTCAAGGAAGATAGCGAATAAAGTAGACAGAGGTAAGAGAAGCAAGAGGGTCAGGACTTATCTTGGTTTTTGTTGTTGGAGAGGTAGGCCAGCGAGGGAGGTCGGTAGGCGGGCCTTGGCTCAGGAGGCATCACTTTTGGGCTGATGGCTTTGTTATGGCCTTGCCTAATGGGGAAAGGTCGGAACTCACCTCGATCGGGTTAGCCCGTTCTAGGGAGCCAAGTGCCTAGATGGAGGGGCCAGCTGAGCCACCATTACCACCAGAGGTCTTGACCGCCTTGCCGATGCTTGGTCGATCGAGCACCACCGCCGTCTTGGACGCTTCCTTGGCCAGAGCCCTCACTGCGTTGTGGCCAGGACTATTGGGAGCATAGGGGGCGACGAGCATGACCACTTGGGTGATGCGGTCTTGCTCGTAGTAGTAGGCTTGCTCTAAGCTACCCTTAACGGTGATGACCCCTTCAGGCCAAGCATCTTGAGCTTGAGGTAGGTGTAGTTGGGGACGGCCATGAACTTGGCAAAGCATGATCAACCGAGGAGGGCATGGTAGACACCGAGGAAGTCAATGACCTCAAAGGTGAGTGGCTCCTTGTAGAAGTTGTCCGACTAACCAAAGGTGACGTTGAGCCGAATGCGCCCGAGGGGCACGGCTTCCTTCCCTAGCACAATCACGTAGAATGGCACCTTGTTGGGGTGTTGGCTGCTCTAAGGGATGCCCATCTTGTTGAGGGTGCTAGTGTAGATTATGTTGAAGCTGCTGCCCCCATCCATCATCACCTTGGTGAGGCGTGTGGTGCCCACGATTGGGCTGACCATGAGCGGGTAGCACCCCGGATGGCGGACATGATTGGGATGGTCTTCTTGGTCAAAGGTGATGGCTGTCTAGGACCACCGGAGCTACGTCGGGGTAGCGAGGGTGTGGTCGGCTTTCACCTCCTTCTCGGTGCTGCAGCGCTACCGACGGGATTCATATGCCTAGGAGCCCCTGAAGATCATGAGGCAGCGCTCGGCATTAGGGAACTCATTGTCTTCCTCCTAGGCGTCGTCCGCTGGGTTGCCAACCCTTTGGGCAAGCTTCTAGGCCTTGCCCTATTGGCTGAGGGTGCTATGGATGTAGCCCTTCATGGTAGCGTGGTCCTTGAGAAGATGCTTTGCCTGCCCCCATGGAACGGGCAGGGGGACTCAAGTGCCTTCTTGAAGAGCTCTAGGCGTGTAGTGCGCCCATGGGGCTGTGGTCTGGCGGCGTAGTCAGCCACGGCGACCATCTCCTCCCTACGACGCTTCCAGTTCTTGTTCCACTTGTCACGGCATCGAAGGGATGAGGTGGGATCATTGGTACTGTCACCACCACTGAGGTGGCCGGCGGCCTTGGCTTTCCCGCTTAAGTTGGCCTAGACGGCCACCTCACTGGTGGCATACTAGGTGGCGACATTCAGGAGCTCCCACATCATGCGCGGGGTCTCACAGCCGAGCACGTGGACGAACGCCTCGTGGGTCATGCCACAGATGAAGGCGTTGATCATGTCAGTGTCAGTGATGTTTGCACTATACCACAGCCCATACTAGCGTCCAACCAAGGGTCGGTAAAAATGTCGAAATGTCATTGGACGGTCGGACGGTATAACTTAGTGGCTTACGGTCGGACGCTATATCTTGTTTTGTCGTCCGACACTATATTTTGTTTTGTCGTTAGACGGTCGGTCCATCTCTCGTTTTTTTGGTCGGTCGGTCGGTATATTGATGTGGGCAACATTCAACCTTATTGGCGCCTAAATATTAGTGGAGCCCACATAGTTGGTGCTAAAATTTTAGTGGAGCCCACTTGTCACCAGAGACCACTTGCAGTGTGTTTAGTAGATTTGGAAAAATCCTACCCACTTGTCCCACCCCTCACGCCACTCACAACACCGCATCCGCGCCCAACATCCGCCGCACGCAAGGCACCACGTGCTCCTCCATGCCGCCCGCTCCTCCGCCCCCCAGCTCACGCGAGCACCACACACCGCGCTCAGCCACCGCATGCAAGGCACCACCACACCCCCAGTCATGCTCTCAAGCGCCCCGACATCCATCTCCCCGACGTCCCAGCGCGCTCTCCCAGCCACGCTTCACCGGCGCCCTGCCACCCACCGATGCCCACCGGCGCCCCCGTGGCCACCCGCCCAGCACCACCGGTGCCTCGCCGATCCCAGCGATGGCCATCCAGCCATCGCCCGTCTGCCGCCCGCCCTCGGGCCCTCGACAACTCCCATCGCCGCCAGCTACCTCGTGGCCCCAACGCTCTGCGATGCCCCCCCCAACCCCTATCGCCCTCACCCCCTCTCTTCTTCCAAAGCCCACATCCAATGAAGTCAATGACCTTTCTCTCTCATTTCTTTTATTTTCTCTATAGTTCAAGAATCAGAGAATTACTCTGTGGCACTAGTGGAGGGTACTGGCCCCTGCATACCTCCATCTGGGCTCGTTAGTTGTCGTGCTTGATGTGTAGAATTAGTCCTTTAGCATAGTTGAAGTGATGTTTGTTGAAGCGTAGCCCCTGCTTTGGTTAGCTCCATGCTCCGCCACTGCTCTGTGCTGAGAATTTTTTTTGTTGTGCTGATGGATTGTCTGATGCTTTGGAGTCCCTTTTTATAACTATTGGGATTGGGATTTCTCGATAAAATCTAAAATGTCATCACATTATAGGAGGGAGTAGGAGCTACAGTGTGTCATTGTGTTTTGACGCCAAGAATCAAGATCTGGGAGGTGTCGTCTTCCTAGAACCAGGAGTCACGATCTGGTGTCCTGCGAACAAGAAGTTGTGGGAGTCATTGTTGTGTGGTGGACAGGAGCTAGAAGAAGTCATCGTGTTTGTGGATCTAAAGCAAGAGGACAAGGTGATGCTCTCTTCCCCTCTGGTCTGCATGTGTGTTTATTTTAGGAACCATTAATTTGTTGTGCCCCAAGTTTTATAGATGGATTATATAATTTAGACAGCTTGTTCTCCCCCTCGTAACGACTGATGGATAAGTCTTGGATTGATGATGATGCTAGGTAAAAAATAATAGCTTCATAAATAGTGAAAGCACTTTATGTAGAATGGCTTTTAACACAAAATTTTCATGTAGGCACGAAACAACATATTTGCAGGGAGTGGAAAGTTTCTTAGTTTTTGCATTTAGTAACTCAGTTGTTGGTAGAAAGATATTGTGCCCATGTAGAAAGTGTGTCAACTCTTTTTGGAAAGAGGCTAGTGAGGTCCGTGAACATTTGATATGTGATAGGTTCCTAAGAGGGTATAGAGCATGGAATTTACATGGACAAACTACCCTTTGTGTGAATCATGGAGACTTTGCTGGTGACGATGTTGAGGTTGTGGACGAGATCCAATGAAGATGATGACATATCTGATTTGCTCAGAGACTTAGCTGCTGGCTTAGATGATAGGGGAGATTATGAGGAAGATAGTTCTGTTCCAGATCCTTGTAAGGAGCTAGTTGCCATTCAAAAGTTAGTCATAGAAAACAGCAAAGAATTGTTCCCTCATTGCAAGAAATATACACAACTTCGATTTATTATTAGATTGCTCCACATCAAGCTCCTTGGAGGATGGTCTGACAAATCTTTCAACCTGCTACTAGATCTACTTAATGATGCATTCCCTGAGGGTTCAGCACTAGCTAAAACCTTTCATGAGGCTAAGAAATTAGTGAAAACCATAGGAATTGGGTATACTAGTATTCATGCCTATGAAAACAATTGCATTCTCTATTGGAAGGGGAACGTAGATTTGGATTCATGTCCAAAGTGTAAGGTTTCACGGTGGAAATCAGTAAGGAAGTCTCTAGATGGGAAACATACATATAAGGTTCCTAAGAAGGTTCTACGCTACTTTCCAATAAAGAAATGTCTCCAAAGTTTGTTTTTGTCCTCAAAAACAGCAAGTCTAACAAGATGGCATGATGAAGGCAGAAAAAAGATGGTCTGCTAAGACACCCCATAGATTCACCTCTATGGGCTGACTTTGATATGAAACATCCAAAGTTCGCTGAAGATAGTTAGAATATCCGTCTAGCATTCGCCAGCGATGGTTTTAATCCATATAGAATACAGAATGTTAGCTATAGCATTTGGCCCAGTATCTGTATTCCCTTAAATTTTCCACCTTTAATGTGCATGAAGCAATCAAATTTCATTTTGTCTTTTCTGATACCTGGTAAGGAGGCTCCAGGTAGTGATATGAATCTCTATTGTGAGCCACTTGTGAATGACTTGTTAGATATGATTGAACATGGTGTTAGAACTTATGATGCTTCGAGGGGAGAGTTCTTCCAATTGCGGGCAGCAATATTGTGGACTATTACTGATTTCCCTGATCTAGGATACGTGTCAGGATCTGTGACATCCGGTGAAGCAGCGTGTCCTGATTGCCACTTCTTTACATATTCCTTTAGGCTTGGTAATGGTAGCAAGAATATTTATATGGGCCATCGAAGATTCTTGCATGAAAATCACCCATTTAGGTTTGATGCCGATAAATTTGGTGGTACTGAGTTTAGGACAGCACCTACACCACTTACTGGGGAGGAAATTTTGGAGTGCATTAAAGATCTTAGCACTAGTTTTGGAAAGGATCCATCTGGAAAGAAACCAACACGCAAGAAACGCCAGGAAGGTGAACCATTAGTAATTTTCAAGAGAAGATCTGTTTGGTTCAAACTTCCATATTGGAAAGATTTGATGTTGAGACATAATTTTGACTTCATGCACATAGGCAAAAATGTTTGTGAAAGCTTACTGAACACATTCTTGGGCACTGTTGGAAAATCAAAGGATAATCTGAACTCTCGCTTAGACCTTCAAGCTCTAGGTATTAGAAGCGATCTTCACCCAGTTGAACTAGATGACCAATTTTATTTGCCACCTGCACCATACTCAATGAGTCCTGATGAGATGAAATTATTTTGCCAAATACTAAAAGGGGTGAAGTTTCCTGATGGTTATGCATCTAATATAAGACATAATGTACATGTGAATGAGAGGAAGGTATTTGGGCTTAAGAGTCATGAGAGCCACATTATTCTACAAGACTTGCTTCCAATTGTTGTGAGAAAAATATTACCAGAAACAGTCAGTGCTGTAGTGATTTGTATATGTACTTTCTTCAAGAAACTTTCTGCCCCTATCATTCGAATAAGCGATATGGAAAGTCCACAGGCTGAAATAGCTGAAACCTTGAGCCCTCTTGAGACTATATTCCTTCCATCTTTTTTCGACATGATGGTACATCTTCCTGCCCAAGCTAAAATAGCTGGTCCAGTCCATTTTCGTAGCATGTGGCCTGTAGAGAGGTAACTATCATATCATATATCTTAGTGGATACAAATGTGTACCTACTAGATGTATAACATTATCAACATGCCTATTATTTCTATGTATGTGTAGAGGTATCTCATGAGATTGAAGGGTTCTGTACGTACCAAAAGTCATCATGAGGGATCAATTATGGAGTGGTCTAATTTCACTAAGTGCCTTACACTTTGTTCTCGCTATCTACATGGTGACACACAAATTTACCGCCAAATTAGAAATGACCAAGATGATAGTACAACTCCTTTCTTCCATAGCATTGGGCAAGGACTGACTGGAAAATGCACATTTAGTTTAGACCACAAGACCTGGATACAAGCTCATAGATATGTTTTGTTCAACTATGGCAACATAGTACCGTACTTGGAGTAAGTAATCCAAATGACTTACATCATATCATCAAGTTTGTAACCAATCTTAAAGTCAAATAACCTTTGCAGTAAGCATGCTATAATTATGCTATTGACCTTTTTATTCATCCTTGTATAGAACTAATTCTACAGGTCCTTTTCAGGAAAACAAATGGCAAGCGGAAGAGGAAGTAGTAAGGATCCCCCCTTACCGAGTGTGAGCGGCGGAGGAATGAGAACATTGCAGAAATCCAAGAGAAGCTGAAGTCCTTCAACATCCCTACTCTATCTAATCCTAAACCACCTGCTAAGAAAAGAGCAAAGGTCATCTTTTTAGAAATTGTTCTGTTGCAATGTCTTTACTTATTTAATGAAAACTATTTACATAAACCATGTTTCTTCTTGTAGAGAACTCATAAGACCAATGATGGAGAAACCCATGATCATAATTTGCGCCCAAGGCCACAAACAAACCCCACAGTGAATGTGAATGAACAAATTGAAGAAGAAGATTTAGACTGTGAACAAATTGATGAAGATTGGGAATGTGAAGTAATTGGAGATTTCTTAGGTGACAATGAAGGTATTGTAGCATACTCCTCTCCTCTTTTATTGTTGCACTAGTTGAGTGCCTGTGCGTAAAGTTGGATATCGAGTCATATGAAGACTAGCAGCAAATTGTGTATAGCAGGTTTTTATGGCACTACAGAAAAGAGGAAAGGAAGAAGTATCACTGTACTGAAGGACATCTTTGAAAGGCCACCTGGCATGCCTAAAATCAAAGTTCCAGTCAATCACCTCGGTCAGCATGTTGGAGATAACTATAGGAGGTTTTGTAGTGCTGTTGGGTGCCATGTGAGAAAGAATCTGTCTGTTGCTTGTCCTGATTGGAGGAAAATTGATATTAAAAAAAAGATGGCAGTATGGGCAGACATAAAGGTATGTCTTAGGCTCTTAGCTATGTCAGTATTTGGTATTGGGTGTCATGTATTCTGAAATGTCAGTTGGCTGCACATTAAATTGTTATTACTATTTTTGCTATTGGATGGCAAGTATGCTGAAATCTAAATAAACATTTGCTATTTTCCATATTTCATTAGGAAACCTATGATATTGATGATGAAGTCGTTCCCTGGTTTTTGGGTAGTGCTACAAAGAAATGGAAGGGTTTTAAATCCTACTTGGTGAAAGACTAAATGATGATGATTGGAAAAAACTAAAAGAGTATTGGGCATCCGAAGAATCTGAAGTAAGTACAACAAATATATGAATTCAACAATGATTTTGTACAATTTAATATTTTCTTTGCCATAGGCTCGCACAATACAAGCCAAAGCCAACCGTGCAAAGTTGACCATACATCATACATCAGGTAGCAAGAGCTTTGCTCAATCAGCGCATAAAATGGTATGTCAGACTATATTTGAGTTTTGTTTAATACACAAATTTGCTGCATTATTTTAGTACTGAGAGTGAAACACATGTAGGCAATTGAACTAGGGTGTCCTCCTCGAAGAAATGAGGTGTATATCAGAACACATACAAGAAAGAATGGAGTTCCGTTACCGCCTGTAGAACCATTCATTGTAAGTTTTTTGTTCAACTTTTATCGCAGCTTGAAATCCTATTTTCTGGTATATTAACAATGATACTCTATATAATTAGAATAAACTAAAATCAATTATTGAGGAACATCCTGAGTTGACACAAAAGACAATCCAAGAAGGTGATGCATTTGTTGCTGCTTGTGGAGAAAAAGAGCCAAAAGGACGTGTGCGTGTTTTGGGTCTAGGTCCAACTCCCCAAAGTGTTGGTACCCCAGGGGTGAAGTCTTACATACCAACAAGGATTCAAGTGGAAGTGATGGCCCGTAGAGATGCAAAAGTAGCCCGTAGAGATGCAGAAGCTGAGCAAGAAGCTCTACGACAACGCATAATGGAGCTAGAACAACAACTGTTGGAGGAAAGGTTAGAGCATGAAAGGGCAAACATGGAAAACATCTCACAGAATGGCTCTAATTCACGACATCTCATGGTAAATCACTTACACCTTCTCTAATTCATGGCTATCACGTGCTACATAAATCTGATCTTTATTGCATAGAAATCTGATCTATAATCCATCTTGCATGTTTGTAGAGCCCAAGGTCTGAAAATGATGGAGTTGGGATAGATTTTGATGCTGAATTTCATGAAGATGATAATGCATATGCAGAACAATCTAATGAGTGTGAATACACGACTATGCGAAGGATAGCAGCAGCCCCATCCCAGCAGCCCCATCAATCCACCATCAGAGCAGCCCCCTCAATCCACCATGAGAGCACCCCCATCCCAGTAGCCCACTCAATCAATCATGAGAGCAGCCCCATCCTAGCAGCCCCTCAATCCACCATGAGAGCACCCCATCCCAAAGCCCCTCAATCCACCATGAGAGCAGCCCCATCCCAAAGAGCCCACTCAATCCACTAGGAGAGCAGCCCCATCCCAGCCACCTTCTCATTGTCGGTCCAGCCATGTTCATGCCCAAAGACCCAAACCTCGTCTTGGCATCGATACAAGGAATGGTGATACTAATCGTTTCTCACATGACGAATATGTAAGTTCTCATTCATCCTCCATTTTTTCGCTTCTAGGTTAGTGGTGTTTTTATTAGTTGATACAGTTCTCATACATCCATCATTTGCTTCAGATTAGCAGAGAAGTTATACTTTACCCAAACATGAAGTCTGTTCAACCTGTGGCCAAGGGAAAAGTTATTGCAACTGATCCTAGCTGTGGGCTAGCAGGACAGGCTCTTGGAAGTCAATTTTGTCAAGTTATGGTTACGGTTGTGATGAAAAGAGATGATGTGTTGCCTTGCCCTTATGTTGGTGTTGAAAATATGGCCAATGCAAAGGACCTAGGAATTGCATGGTCATATAATTGGGTAATAAGCAACTCATGTTCTTGTTTCTTATTTTCATATGTGATGAATTAATTAGTGATGTCTCTAACAGCTGAAGCTTTGCAAGTCATCAAAATCATCCCAGTCTGGTGAGGCTGCTGGGGTACTGCAGGGAGGACAAGGAGGTCCTGCTGGTGGAGTACATGGCCAAGGGCAGCCTAGAGAACCATCTCTTTAGAAGTGAGCCACACAGTAAGTTTGTGGCCATCTCATTCTTGTCTAATTTTTTTTACCCCACATTGATTTCAAGTGTTAGATGCATGCCTTTTATAGGTTAAGCTTCATCTCTCTGAACCAAATTTAGAGAACTGGATTTTACAGTGAAACAGTCAATTCCTACATAATTCAAACATAAAATTAATAGTACTGAAACATCAAGTTCATTATTAGAAGGGAAAATACAAGATTGTTAACTACTTGGTTATTGAGTGGTGCCAGTACTGAAACATCAAGTTCATTATTAGAAGGGAAAATACAAGTTGTCGTGGAGTTATGGTTAATATTTACTATAATAGCATAATGTGAGTTCAGTAGACACCTGATGGCATGTAAAGCATCCAGGGCATTAATACTGTATTAATAAATGTAAGTTTTATGGAAGAAGTAAAAAAAATTAGAACTCTTGCCATGTATTCACTTCTGAGGTTCCTTCTTTTGTCGTTTGCCTGCTAGTAGAAAAATCAAAGGGTTCTTGTTATCAACACTTAAGCACAGTGTAGCATGTTGGAGAGAACAGGGCTCTTGTCACTTTTACCTCTGTATTTGTGTGCCCAGAGAAGGGCTATGAATGCAAGTAGCACCAGCTTGGTATGGTCAAGAAAAAATTGTGGTTAGTTTTAGAATATTTGTAGTACTAGTACTGAAATCTACACATTATTTAGGTAGCCAAATCAAAAGCATGTTACTGAGCCGAATTACATCTCAGCTGCTATTTGGATTGGAACTATCAGTTTATTATATCTTTTATTTGCAGGTGGGAGGTAATGGCTAGGGGGGCCTGATGCATGCAGGAAGCAATTGGATGGAATTTCGCATGGCCAATGCATTATTTTGGACATTCTAACTAGATATGAATGCTTTTGGACATTCTAACTAGAGATGAATGCTTTTGTTTAAGTGATGAATTGTAATGAGTGCGAGCAAACCATGAGATGTAAACTGTGCAACTAGTGCAAACATCTATATATGAGCTATGCATTATTCTATCTTGATGGCCAAACTGCCTTATGTAACTTGTTTCTCCAAGTTGAGCTTATGGATATGATATAATGATATAATTGTGAGCTATGATGAGCTTCATTGTCATAATTGTGTATATTGTCCAAAATGGAATTGATGATTTTATATATGGTTCATTGATTGTATGATTAGTACTGATACTGAGGTTAATGAATAATTTGAGGTTAATGAATAATTATGTTGTTAATTTTTTGTATTGATAGTGTTAGATAGTTGGACGCTATATAATATATAGCGTCTGACCAATAGTCGCTATAAGTATGTACTTGGCGTCGAACAGTCGGTCGGTATATCTTTAACGTACCGTCGAACGGTCGGTCGCTATAATTAAGGTCGGACGCTATAGCTTATAGCGACGCCACTTATACCCACGCGTCAAGTCGGACGCTATATGTATATAGCGACCTACCATAGGTCGTTGTACTGACTTATAGCGACCTACCGTAGGACGGTTGTAGATAGGTTGTGGTATAGTGTTGGGAGCTCATTGCGCTTCTTGGAGAAGCGCTGAATGTACTCTGGAGGGTCTTCTTGGCCCTCTGCTTGCAGTTGAAGAGGTCCTAGGAGTTCCTCGGGCGGGTGTAGGTACCCTAGAACTGGCCGGTGAAGACCGCATGGAGATCGCCCTAGCAGCGGATGCTGCTGGGCTCAAGCTGCTCGAGCCAAGCTCTAGTTGAGCTTGATAGAACCAGAGGAAGGTACTGGATGGCTTAGTCATTGTCCAAACCCTTGGCCTTCATGGCAAGATGGTAGTCCTCCAGCCAATGGTCCGGGTTGGTCTCGCCGTCGTACTTGGAGATGTGCATTCGGCAGCCGGAAGCGCCTGGGGTAGGGGACTGCCCAGATCGCTGCCCCGAATGCTAGGGGGCCGAAGTGATCTAGGATGGGCCCCTGCCCATCACTCATGGGTATAGGACTGCGCCTGAGCGTGGCGCTTGCCCTCCATGGTGTAGTGGACGTCGCGGTCATCGCCGATCCGGTGCCATGTGGCTGGATGCCGAGGAGAAAGGTCATGCCATCGTTCCTGCCGAGGCTTGGTGCTCCACGTCCGCAGTCGGTCGGAGCTGTTGCCAGAGGTGTCACCGCTGCTCCCCGCCACCTATGGGGTGTGAGCGTCGGAGCACCCCCTGTTGGCGGTGGTCATCATCTAGGATGACCGGGAGAGCACGGTGCGATACTGAGAGGCTAAACTCTCGACCTATTGCTCGAGGGTGATGCGAAGAAGCCACTTTGCCTCGTTCAACCGCTCGTTGGTCTTTAGGTCTGGCATGTCAAAGATGTCTTCTAGACAGCAAGCGGCAGCCGCCATGTTGTATACCGCACGGGGGAAGTAGAGGCCGCTAGGAGCCCCCATGCCGGCATCGTCGGCGGTGGTGAGAGGGTGCACAGTTTTCTGCCACGCAAAGTCCTGCCTTTGGCGCTCGAGCTCTACCTCAGCGGCCTCCAAGTCCACCTACCGAGCGCGCAAGCGGTCTGCCTTCTCCTAAAGGTAGGTCGTGCGACTGCAGAGACTCTGGTCCGGTGGCGTGAGCCTGGGTGCCTCTTCAGTAAGATCGTTGTTGTCGACATGGTAGCACAAGTGTGGCGGGGCGTCGTAATCAATGTCGTCAGAGTCATACTCCAGTTCATTCCCCAAGAGGACCTCGAGGAAGGCACGGAGCAAGGGGACATCAGCCCCTGCTGCGCCAACGAGGATGATGCTCTGTGGCACCTCGCGACTGATGAGGTGCTCCAGCTCTAGCTGGAAGTATGCCACCGCATCCTGTATCCCAAAAGGTAGGTCCAAGAGGTAGTACCAAAAGTGATCAAGCGGCGGGAGCACCTCACCGGTGGCGATCTGGTGGTGGACGTTGGCCAGCATGTAGAACATCTGGCGACAGTCCGACATGCTAGGGTTTAGGCCCAGACCGCACCGGATCTAACGTGCGAGAACCTCGCTATCTGCTCCCAAGAGTCCTAGTGGTGGAGGCGGCGTTGGGGGCTCATTGCCCACCGGTGCAGCCCCGTGGAGGAGACGAAGCTCATCGTAGCAGTCGGCAATGTAGGTCAGGCACCCAAAGTTGAGGACCTGGCCCAGAGCAAAGGCACCAGTCGCGATGAAGAACTCGTCGGGGAAGCGGACACCACCATCTAGGATGGAGTCGCTTGGTCCAACGATAAGGTGGGTGGCTCTGGCCACCATGGAGCCAGAATCATACTTGACGCTGCCCCCTACCTGGCACGTCAACTGTCGTTGGGTCAAAACTATGGCAAGCATGTTGTTCGAGTCGGTGTTAGAGTATGAGGTCTCTAGTGGTTCGGGTGGACTCAGGAACACAAGAATCACACAGAGAAGACACAGTGGTTTATCCTAGTTCAAGCCAATTCAGTCCCTACGTCCAGCAGCGGATGATCCTTATACCCAAGAGCACCCAAAATCTAGGGGTTACAATAGAGTGTAAAGGAAGAGAGTTTTGATAAGGGGGGTTAGCTCAGAGCTAATCCTAAGGTTGCCTCACCACCGGTGGAGTCTCCCCCTCGTCGGGGATTAAGGAGATGGCAAGATACGATGGAGGAGGGGCTCTCGGTGCCCCTCTCCAGGTTGCCTTGCTCTCGGTGTAGAGCGGAGATGGATGGAATGGAATGGAGTGTCTGGTGATCGAATTGGGATCTTCTCCCCTCTAGGTCTGACCTGAACCCTTATATAACGAGATAGGTCGGGTACAAAATGGTTTGAGGGTTCTAGTCTATGGTCTACATGCACCGAAGTCTAAGAGGGGCTTGCAGCGGTGCATCGTGGACCATCAAGGTGTCTTGAAGCTAAAGAAGCATGGGCGTCGTTCGGCTGCTCTGTTCTGACACTCTACATGTCAGACGGTGTCGGCTTGGATTGGCCTCCCGTGGGTGAGACCTTCTGGAGTCTTCTTGGTGGCGAAGTAGGTCGGCTCCGGGGGCTGATGCGCGGGACCAGAAGGCCCTGAGCCCCCAAAGGCCATGGGAAGCTTTGTCTTCTTGTGTCACGCCCAGAACATGACCCTATCGGAGGAGCAGTTGGGAGGGGCATGTCTAGGGAGCGGCGCCAGGGAGGCCCCGGGCATCGATAGCCTGGGGCTTGTCTTCTTGTGCTCGGGCCTTGGCTGGCATCGTTAGCTGGGCAGGAGCCAAGGACCAGGCTTGGTCATGCCGTAGATCGAGAGCCTAAGGCTCAGGGAAGCCCCCGAGCCCTATGCGGAAGTTGCGGTCGAGTCAGGCTTGGTCGGGTCTCTTTGCCAGATGGTGCGTGCAAGTGTGCCCGATGGGCATAGCC